AGAGCGTCAGGAATCTCTGACCCTCTGGCAGCTCTCTTCCTCGTGCTGGTCCATGGTCCCCAGGAGCCTCCTTGTCACCCTATGGTTCTCCCGGTAAGGGTGTCAGGATGTTTCTTATCCGAGCGGACATCCTGCAGAGTGTGTGCACCTGCAGAAGGGGCCCTGGTTTCTTCCTCTCAGGCCACCACATGAACAGTCCCAGATGCTGGGGTCTCAGCTCTGCCAACCACAGCAGGATGCAGGCGAGGAGGTGAGGACCTCAAACGTACACGTCCTGGTCTCCTGTCCTTTTACACCAACGTCTCCTGGTTGCACGACACAGAATTCATAACATCTTGTTCATCTGTAAGGAAAACATGGTCTCTGGGGTTAGACACCCCTGAGATTCCCACCTAAGTGCCAGCAGGAACTTGAAACCAGGTGAGACACCGAGTCTTTCTGAGGCTAAATGCCCACCCACACGACAGCACTTACAATTCTCCACGTGGCACATGGGGGTCAAAACCCAAGGTCAACAAAGTATGGGCCTCGGATAAATCTGACCTCCCCCCTTTTTTGTAAATAAAGGTTTATTAGAACACAGCCACACATGCTAGCGTAGTGTGTGTAGATGCTTGTGTGTCATACGGAAGAGCTGAGTAGTTGTAATAGATCATAAAGCCCTAAAAAATGAAGATATTTATTAAGTGGTCCTATATATAAAAAGTTTGCTGACCCGAAAACCCTATCCATCTATCTATCTATCTACCTACCTACCTACCTATCTAGTGTAGTGTGAACCCCACTCTGAAAGAGCTGCTGGCTGTTACTCCAATGCGTGAATGTGCTGGGGGCTGGCATCAGGTTTGGGGCCTCAGTGGGATTTTGTCAATTGAGGGAATGCATGGTTAGCTGACCAGTGGTTCTTGGTCTTGAAATTCAGGGTGCAGTCTGGCAGGAAACACACAGTCCTTTTGCTAGCATTCTAAATGTCTGATCTCTCCATGTTGGAATTTGAGAACCCAAGAGCCATTCTCAGAGAGAGGATTGAGCCTTCCTTGCCTGACTGGTGGGTGAAGGAGGGCGGGCCCGGATGCCCAGGCAAAGGTCCACTAAGCTGCTAGACATGTTCACATGTGTCAACAACTGTATGAGTTTCTTGTAACAAATTACCATCAAGGTGTTGGTATCTTAAAGCAACTGAAATTTATTCTCTCTCAGTTCTGAAGATGCAGGGCTGAGCTCCCTGAAGAGGCTCCAGGGGAGGGTCCTTCCTGCCTCTTCCAGCTTCTGGGGGCTCCAGGCGTCCCTGGACTTGTGGCCGCATCCCTCCCATCTCTGACTCTGTGGTCACAAGACCCCCTCCCTCTTCTGTAATCAGTTCTCCCTCTCCCTGTTTCCAATCAGCAACCCTGTGAGTACATTCGCCCTACACTGATAAGCTAGGACGGTGTCCTCATCTTAAGACCTTAATGACATCTGCAATGATTCTTTTCCCAATAGGAACACATTTGCAGGTTTCAGGGGTTAGGATGTGGACGTATCTCTTGAGGAGCCACCATTCAAGCCACTACAGCGGGAACTGGATGCAACCAGGATGGTCCCACCACTGACCTGTTTCCAAGGCGTAGAGTGCGGCCGTCACGCTGCTGAAAGATGAGGTGTCTGCAGACCATGGAAGGTCCACAACGAAACTAGCTCAGGAAGAGCCTGACAGACCGCGATGGGCACCAAATCCAGGGAGGCACGGGGCATTCGACATGACTGTTGTTGTTACATTAGTATCGTGGTCTGAAATAGAATCCAAGCCCTGCACACGTCTCCAGGAGAGGAACATGCCTGTGTTAGCAGACGATGAAATTAAGAAGCAGATACCAGAAGAGAGGCTTCATATGACCACTGAAGGGTAAGTGGGCAGCAAAGCTGCCATTCTTTGACTAAGGCCCTAAAAAGTGGTAGGGGAATGTGCAGACCTGCGAACCCTGTGCAGCTGAATCCCATGATTGGTTTAGCCCAGGCCTCGTGCCCGTCCCTGTCCTAGAGACCCCACGGTGACAGGTGTCCAGGCTCCATCCTACAGACCCCATGGTGACAGGTGTCCAGGCCCCGTCCCTGTGCCACAGACCCCATGGTGACAGGTGTCCAGGCTCCATCCTACAGACCCCATGGTGACAGGTGTCCAGGCCTTGTCCTACAGACCCTACAGACCCCATGGTGACAGGTGTCCAGGCTCCATCCTACAGACCCCATGGTGACAGGTGTCCAGGCTCCATCCTACAGATGCCCATGGTGACAGGTGTCCAGGCCCCATCCAACAGACCCCATGGTGACAGGTGCCCAGGCTCCATCCTACAGATGCCCATGGTGACAAGTGTCCAGGCCCCGTCCCACAGACCCCATGGTGACAGGTGTCCAGGCCCCAACCCTGTCCCACAGACCCCACGGTGACAGGTGTCCAGGCCCCCTTTCTTATCCCGTGTCCTACAGAATTCCCTACCCCTCTGTTGAGGGTCTTTCCATGAGTCACGGGGTGAGAGCCCTGACAGATGCCCTAACGGCTGCAGGAAGCCCCTAGGACCTGGTCCCCCTAAAGATGGTGGGGCAGAGGGTTAGGGTTGTCACATGACCCTTGATCAACAGACTAAGGAAGGCTCACATCTCTCCCTTTCCAGGACCCACAAATCAGAGCCGCATCTGTGGCACAAATTGCGTGTGACAGAACAGGGGACACAGGACACCCTCAAAGCCACCAGTGCCCAACAGTCCCAGGCCCCCTTGAAAGTGTTTGTTTCATCCGGATGTTTCTACCCCAGGGTCCTCAGCGCCTCTGTGCTAAGCAAGAACACCGCCTGCGTGGCTGGCAGGGTTTAATGACTCAGGGCACCCGGTACAACTGGACACATCGGGGATCACGAGATTCATGGCTGAGGGCCAGCTGCTTGGGGTCGCACTCAGCATTCCTCTCCTCAAGTTCCGGCCCAGGGCAAGGAAGCCGATGGGAGACGCTGGGGAGACACAGCCCCAAGGGCGGGGGATGGGATGACGCAGACACGTGGTCCAGCGCAGACACACCTGCGCGCGCCTGGCAGATCACCGTCTCCCTGGCAGGTGGCTAACCCTAGACCACCTCCTGGGTCACATCGGCGATGCCCGTCATCTGGCAACTTCTGGCCCACAGCTGTCGCTGAAGCTCCAGGTCGTACGTGACCGCCAGAGACTTGGTCTCTTTCTCGTTGTAAAGATAGCAGCCGCCACGGCCTTCCAGCGCTGGAGTGACCGCTGCATAGACGGAGGTCCAGGCTCCCTCATCCGGGGTCTGCAGGAAGAAGGAAAGAAGTCAATTTTCAGAGCAGAGACACACGGGTCTCCACGCCCACAGACACTGTGGGTGAGACACAGCACCTCCGACATCCTTCCACGGACTCAGGCACAAAGCCGGGCCGGACAGGCTGGGGCAGCCCAGACTCCATGGGTGCAGGAAGGTGCACCCACGTGGGCTGTATTTCCACATTGGGTTAATCCATTTCAGTAGACGCATATGAAGACCCCAATGTAAATACTCAAGCCTCCAGCTCTTTTTAAAAGTTTATTTTTATTGAAATATAGTTGTTTACAACGTGGTGTCCATTTCTGCTGTACGGCCAACGCTCGATGAAACCGAAATGCTTATTCGTTGGCTCAAAGCAGATGACTGTTCGGCCTCTGTGTTGAACGCATGACATTTAGCAATTTGAGATGGAAACGTCGAGACAGCAGAAAGTTTCTTGGTTTCCACGCAGTGAAGAGAGTTACAGCAGGAGAACTGTAAGTTCAAGACAAAGCTTGAAAGGCTGAGAAGAGACTGAGAAAAGTGGGCCTCAGGCAGTAGGAGGGAAGGAGGAAGGTTTGAACGCCAGACACCCTGTGTTTTGGGTTGGGAGCTGGTCCCTGGGCATGATCAGTGGATTAGAAGATGTGGGGTAGTGGGGTGTATATATATAACTGTGTGTGTGTGTGTGTGTGTGTTATGGAGTATTACTCAGCCGTGGAAAAGAATGAAATAATGCCATTTGCAGCAACATGGATGGACCTAGAGATTATCATACTAAGTGAAGTAAGTCAAAGACAAATACCATATGACATCACTTATATGCAGAGTCTAAAAAATAATACAAATGAACTTATTTATGAAACACAAACAGATTCACAAACATAGAAAACAGAGCTACAGATAGCAAAGGGGAAACGGGGTGAGGGAAAAATTAGGAGTTTGGGACTAACAGACACACACTATTATATGTAAAGGACCTACTGTATAGCACAGGGAACTATATAAAAAGAACCGGTGGAGAACCAGGCAGAGAAGTTCAAGGGATTAGACCTTGTGGGCACTAAGGGGCTTTGGGGCTACGATTCAATATCCAGAAACCAACAGAATTCCCTCATCTTACTGTCATGACAATGACTTTTCAGGAGCTCATCGCACGTAACAAACTTTCGGAAATCTGCTCAACTCGCCTAGCCCTGGTCCTTCTCATGTGCCTCTAAGAGTGTACCATTGTAGGACCCTCAGGTACACACACCCAGGCCAGGAAACAACCCCACGGTCACATTTTCTGGATTCAGACATGATCAAAAGGGGTATCTCAGAAGTCATGATGACAAATGTCCCCCGGCACTTATATTCGGGCTGGAGGTTAAAAAGAGAAGTGAAGGGGAAAGCTTCCTTTACTCTGCGGAGCTATCTGACAGGCAGAGAAGCTGCGACTTTGAAGGTACTGTCTGGAAGACCAACACCTCCCCATGTGATCTCCCAAGAGGGCTGTGTACCCACCTGCCAAAAACACTGGACATGACAAAGATGGGAAATTGCTGAGGGCAGCCAGGTAAACTGTTCCTTTGATGTTACCGGGTCCCATACTCAAGGAAGCAAGATCCTGGGACCCTACGGTCAAGACATGAGTTGACGAAGACGATCTGAAACATATGGGCGTCTCCCAGGAGGAGCTTGAAGGTTTGCAAGAAAGTCTGCAGAGGGGAACACGCATTATTGGAAAGCCTGTGTTCTCATGTGTTGGGACGGGGTGGCCATGGAGTCAGGAGGGGTCAGGGGTCATGAAGGGAACAGTCTGCCTCTTCAGGAAAAAACATTCATTTCATTGTAGCAATGAGCTCCTTTAGACAGGATTCTACTACTTTTTTATGGAGATAAAGTTATACAATGTTATATGTCAGTTATAAAGTATAAAATATATTGATTTGACACGCGGTCTTGTGAAGACTCCTAAGTATTTGGGGTTTTTTTCCCCAAGTGTTGATAGGGATTTTTTCATCTTATTTTGGTTGCAGTTTCCAACTTTTAAAAACGCTTAGGTCACCTATTCCACCATCCCCAAGTCTCATCCTTGTCAATTCGTCAGTGTTGATCCAATGCTTTCTCACATCTGTTTTCTGTATATGCCATTCTTTTCAGATGTATTAAACAAAAAATCCTCCAAAAAAAAAAGGATTTACTCATTTTAAATAGGAGACACTGCCTGCACATTGCATGTGCCCGGAGTCTGTTTTCTGGGAATGGATGTTGGATTTACCTGTCTTCCTGGGGCAGTGCCTATGACCAGTGTTCTGTTTCCACCTCAACTGGGCGTCCTGTGATTCGATTCTGGTGCTGTCCACCCAGAGGTGGCAAAGCCTCTGCGTGTTTATGGCCTCGGTTCTCCTTAACTGCCCTCACCACACATCTCTGGGGTCCTCCTGCACTCCGGACCCACTGACTATAGGTACTGGGGTACCCAGGATGCCCGCAGGGTTGAGGATTTCCAAGAACGACTCACAGAATCCGAGACGGCATCTCCTTGTGATTCCACTTTTACGATAAAATCCAGATCAGGCACAGCCACATGAAGAGATGTTTTTCCATTATAGGTTATTACAAAACAGAGGAACTGGTTTTCCCTTCAGTGGTGTCTGAGATGTTCTCGCTCGGATGGATTTACACCTCCTTGTCAAACAGATCCTTCAGTCGGCTCCTGGGACGAGCTTGTTTCGTAAGTCAACCGTTCCCCAGGCCGAGGATTCAGGCATCCATGCCCAGAAACCCCCTGCCATGTTTCACCCCCAGAGTGAGTCACCTCCATCAGAAAGACCTGCTTTGTTGCAGCTGCAGGCTCTCCTGCTCCTGGGATTTCCCTAGGACGTGTCCAGCCCTCTTTAGAGGCTGCTTCTTTTGGGTCCTCCAGTGGGCCTTATCTGGGGGTCCATTTCCCCCACAGGTTGAAAGTCCTCTTGTCTGGGTAACAGTGCTTGTGATCAGCATGTCCAACTAAAACACAAGGATGGCAGTTTTAGAAGATATGCCTGTGGTGTGCTGGACACGAGCTTGGAATGCCCAAAGGACACAGCACTGTGCCCAAAGTTCAGCTACCGTCAGGAGACAGGATTGCAATGGAATTCTGTTGATCATCCTGTTTCTGAAGGAAAGAGACTTCGAAGCACAGACATATACCCCCGTGCACACACAGTCACATGCACTCACACCCAATACACACACACATTCACTTACACACACATATACCCCCATGCACACACATTCACATGCACACATATACCGCCATGCACACACACATATACACCCATTCACACACACATTCACATGCACACACGTGCATTTAACTGCACACATTCACATGCACACACATATACCCCCATGCAGTCACATGCATACACACATATACCCCCATGCACACACATACACCCATCCACATGAACACACATATACACCCATGCACACATATACACCCATCCACACACATTCACATGCATACACATATACACCCATCCACACAGTCACACACACACATACATATACAACCATACACACACACATTCACATGCATACACATACACCCATCTACACACACAGTCACATGCACACATATACCCCCATGCACAGTCACATGCACACCCACATATACACCCATCCAGTCACATGCACTCACACATATACACCCATACACACACATTCACATGCACACGCACGCTTTTACATGCACACGTTCACATGCAAGCACACATACCGCCATGCACATTCACACGCACACACATATACCCCCATGCATAGTCACATGCATACACATATACACCCATCCAGTCACACGCACACATACATATACAACCATCCACACACACATTCACATGCACACACACACACCCATCCACACACAGTCACATGCACACATATACCCCCATGCACACAGTCACATGCACACACATACACCCATGCACACACACATTTACATGCACACAGTCACATGCAAACACACATACCCCCATGCACAGTCACATGCACACACATATATCCATGCACACACATGCATTCACACGCACACACACATATACACCCATACACACATGCACACACATATACCCCCATGCAGTCACATGCACACACACATATACACCCATCCAGTCACATGCACACACACATATACACCCATCCACACACACACACGCACATGCACACACACATATACACCCATCCACACACACACACTCACACACACACATTTACATGCACACAGTCACATGCAAACACACATACCCCCATGCACACACACATATACCCATGCACACATGCATTCACATGCACACACACGCAGATATACACCCATACACACAATTTACACATATACCCCCATGCACAGTCACATGCACACACACATATACCCCCATGCACACAGTCACATGCACACACATATACTGCCATGTACACACATTCACAGGCACACACACATACCCTCATGCACACACATGCATACATATATACACCCATGCACACACATACATTCACACTTACATGCATGTACTCACATGTACACACACTCACCCAGGGTGGCCCTGCCCAGCCAGGGAGTTCTCTGACATAGAAAAGGACAGGAAAAAAAAAAAAGAGCTGTTCTTCGTGCTCATGCATCTCACGGAGAATTAATCTCATCCACTTATCCCACTTAAACACATGATAGATGCTGGGCTAAAAACAGCCACCCCCGAGCATTTGCAGAACATTTCCAAGCCCTGGGCAGATGATAAAGATAGAGAAAATGAGATTTCATTTGTACTTTTTAATTCCTAAATGTTTTGACAGCTCACGAAATGGACGGTTTTATGCATTTCTTCTTCCTGACATCTGACGTCACTGTCCTAACCCTCACCCATCAGGGTGATGACACATCATGCCTGAGTGAAAGGAAGGAAGTCTGATAGACGCTGAGATGCACACATGTGTATAAGCAGGCACACACATACACTCGGTCACATGCACAACACACACTCCCTCCC